CAATTTCTGTCAGGGGATGCAAACTTTTGAGCACAACTGTATATATATATACTATATTGCCAAAAATTATTGCCTTTCCACACGCATGACCTTTAATGGCCTCCCAGTCTTAGTCCGTAGGGTTCAATATTGAGTTGGCCCCGCCCTTTCCACACACATGACCTTTACTGGCCCCCCAGTCTTAGTCCGTAGGGTTCAATATTGAGTTGGCCCCGCCCTTTCCACGCACATGACCTTTAATGGCCTCCCAGTCTTAGTCCGTAGGGTTCAATATGGAGTTGGCCCCGCCCTTTCCACGCACATGACCTTTAATGGCCTCCCAGTCTTAGTCCGTAGGGTTCAATATTGAGTTGGCCCCGCCCTTTGCAGCTATAACAGCTTCAACTCTTCTGGGAAGGCCGTCCACAAGGTTTAGGAGGGTGTCTATGGGAAGGTTGGACCATTCTTCCAGAAGCACATTTGTCAGGTCAGGCACTGATGTCGGGGGAGGAGGCCTGGCTCACAGTCTCCGCTCTAATTCATCCCAAAGGTGTTCTATGGGGTTGAGGTCAGGACTCTGTGCAGGCCAGTCAAGTTCCTCCACCCCAAACTGGCTCCTCCATGTCTTTATGGACCTTGCTTTGTGCACTGGTGTGCAGTCATGTTGGAACAGGGAGGGGCCATCCCCAAACTCTTCCCACAAGGTTGGGAGCATGAAAATGTCCAAAATGGCTTGGTATGCTGACGCCTTAAGAGTTCCCTTCACTGGAACTAGGGGGCCAAGCCCAACCCCTGAAAAAGAACCCCACACCATAATCTCCCTCCACCAAACTTTACCCTTGGCACAATGCAGGCAGGCAAGTATCGTTTTCCTGGCCACCGCCAAACCCAGACACGTCCATCAGATTGCCAGACAGAAGCGTGATTGGTCACTCCAGAGAACACGCCTCCCCTGCTCTAGAGTCCAGTGGCGGCGTGCTTTACACCACGGCATCCGACGCTTTGCATTGCACTTGGTGATGGAAGGCTTGGATGCAGCTGCTCGGCCATGGAAACCCATTCCATGAAGCTCTCTACACACTGTTGTTGGGCTCATCTGAAGGCCATACCAAGTTTGGAGGTCTTTAGCTATTGACTCTGCAGACAGTTGGCGACTTCTGCGCACTGTGCGCTTCAGCATGCGCTGACCCCGCCCTGTCATGTGACGTGGCCTACCATTTGGTGGCTGAGTGGCTGTTGTTCCCAGTTGCTTCCACTTTGTTATAATCCCACTAACAGTTGAGCGTGGAATATTTAGTAGCCAGGAAATGTCACGGATGGACTTATTGCACAGGTGACCACCTATCACGGGACCACGCTTGGAGTCCCTGAGCTCCTGAGAGCGACCCATTCTTTCACCAATGTTTGTAGAAGCCGTCTGCATGCCTAGGTGATGATTGTATACACCTGTGTCCATGGAGGGGATTGGAACACCTGAATCACATGATTTGGAGGGGATTGGAACACCTGAATCACATGATTTGGAGGGGATTGGAACACCTGAATCACATGATTGGGAGGGGATTGGAACACCTGAATCACATGATTTGGAGGGCGGAAACAATACTTTTGGCAATATAGTGTGAGTATAAATATAGACTTTACTATAGAGCAGGGGTGGGCAACTGTGGCCCTCCAGCTGTTGGTGAACTACAAGTCCCATCATGCCTCTGCCTTTTGGAGTCATGCTTGTAACTGTCAGTTTTGCAATGCCTCATGGGACTTGCAGTTCGACAACAGCTGGAGGGCCACAGTTGCCCACCCCTGCTATAGGGCTAGGAGTGGCCCCTGCGGAGGATCTGGCTGGACTATATGTTGATTGTCTCAGTACAAACCCCCCACCAAAAATTCCCGCTTCTATGGATATGTCGGAGAGGGTCATCCAGTAGTACATACAGGGGTGGACTAACAACTCATGGGGCCCCTGGGCAATAGGGGATCATGGGGCCCCTGTATCCTTGCCCAAACTCAAAAAAAGCCTATGAAAAAGGTCCCAGGGGCATCTCATGGGGCCCCATACTGACCCCGGGCCCTCAGGCAGTGCCCGAGTTTCCAAATGGTCAGTCCGCCCCTGAGTACATAACAGATCGGAGTAAAGTTTATCATTCATGTCCTCTTCCTGTTTATCTCACATCTCCATTCCCGGGACGAGGGCCACCTCGGTGATTTGTCACCCACTGACAGATCTTAATTTGCCATCTTAGGCTCTGTTAGGAGAACACCGAGCTGAACGACAATTTTTTTTATTATTATTATTTTACTGATTTCTAATTCGTTTTCTTTTTCGGCAGATAAAGCAGAATGTTTGGAGGAACGAATTCTGTGTGAACACAACAGACAAATATAATCGTTTTTTTTTCCCCTTCATGCAATTCTCTACAGTCTACAAAAAAATAAATAGGAGACTAGTCATAGAAAAAAAATTGCTGTGCAAAAGTCTTATGCAGGCCATACATGGTTAGAATTCCAAACGATTTTTCGTCCGAAAATCGAAAACGTTCACTCGGCAGGTGCGGACTGACAACTCATGGGGCCCCCGGGCAATAGGGAATCATGGGGCCCTGTGTCCTTGCCCAAACTCAAAAAAGCCTATGAAAAAGGTACCAGGGGCATCTCATGGGGCCCCCTACTGACCTGGGCCCTCGGACAGTGCCTGAGTTTCCAAATGCTCAGTCCGCCCCTGGGCCCTCTGGCAATAGGGAATCATGGGGCCCCTGTGTCCTTGCCCAAACACAAAAAAGCCTATTAAAAAGGTACCAGTGGCATCTCATGGGGCCCCCTACTAACCCCGGGCCCTTGGGCAGTGCCTGAGTTTCCAAATGCTCAGTCCACCCCTGGGGCCCCCAGGCAATAGGGGGTCATGGGGCCCCTGTGTCCTTGCCCAAATAAAAAAGCCTATGAAAAAGGTACCAGGGACATCTCATGGGGCCCCCTACTGACCTGGGCCCTTGGGCAGTGCCGGAGTTTCCAAATGCTCAGTCCGCCCCTGGGGCCCCCGGGCAATAGGGGATCATGGGGCCCCTGTGTCCTTGCCCAAACTCAAAAAAGCCTATGAAAAAGGTACCAGGGGCATATCATGGGGCCCCCTACTGACCCCGGGCCCTCAGGCAGTGCCCGAATTTCCAAATAGTCAGTCCGCCCCTGGGGCCCCCGGGCAATAGGGGATCATGGGGCCCCTGTGTCCTTGCGCAAACTCAAAAAAGCCTATGAAAAAGGTACCAGGGGCATTCTCATGGGCCCCCCACTGACCCCCCTGGGGCCCTCGGGCAGTGCCGAGTTTCCAAATGCTCAGACCCACCCCTGTTGCTCGGTAATCCCGATAGTTGCCATCAATGATTTCGAAAATCAGCCGATCGAGTCATAAAGTTCACCCCATATAACAGGCAAAACTTCTGTTCCTTCCAGGTCACGGCTCATGGCGCATATTCTTTTCGGAAACACGATCGTACGATTTGACCATCAAGTCGAAAATTAGTCATTTTTCACGAATTTTCCAACATGGCCGATCTCCGAAAAGGGGAGGAACCAAGAAAATCCATTGACCCCACTAACAGAGCGAAAATCAGCCGATTATTCTTAGGTCTGATTTCCGGACGAAAAGTCAGTCGAATTTTGACCCGTGTATGGCAGGCCTTATTTCTTTTTCATTTCCATTTTTCTCACGATTCTCCCATCATTGATTCGAAATTCGTTTGTTTTTTCAAAAAATTTCCAACATCCCCAGTCACTCAAATTTGACAACATGGATTCAGAAATGTAACCAACTAATGCAGACCATAGACGGGTCGAACATCGGCCGAAAAATAGGTCGTTCGTTAGGCCGACGTTACCAACGATAAAAAAAATCGTCCGACTAAATCATAAAGTTCACCCCCATAACTTCTGTCCCTTGCAGGTCATGCGCAGATTTTTTATTGTTAAAACGATCGGCTGAGTGTTGAACTGTCTATGGCGGCATAAGACTTCAATTTCACCTCCTGTTGCTGCAGAAAAGAATTTTCGTGGCCAAGAATGTTCTTTTCTTTCCAGCTTGCAGCTCATTTGTTTTTCATTTATATTTCTCCCCGTCATTCATTCAAAATTCATTTGTTTTTCAAAATATTTCCAACATCCCCGATCACTCAGATTCGATGGTTACATGAAAATAGGCCGTAAATCGGTCAAATTTTGACCCATGTATGACCGGCCTTTGCATCTGCACAGCTGTCACGAATATTCACTAGATAGGGTGGGTCCGGAGAGAGCGGATATAGTGAATGCGGGGTCCGGGGAGAGCGGATATAGTGAATGCGGGGTCCGGGGAGAGCGGATATAGTGAATGCAGGGTCCGGGGAGAGCGGATATAGTGAATGCGGGGTCCGGAGAGAGCGGATATAGTGAATGCAGGGTCTGGGGAGAGCGGATATAGTGAATGCAGGGTCTGGGGAGAGCGGATATAGTGAATGCGGGGTCCGGGGAGAGCAGATATAGTGAATGCAGGGTCCGGGGAGACCGGATATAGTGAATGCGGGGTCCAGGGAGAGCAGATATAGTGAATGCGGGGTCCGGGGAGAGCGGATATAGTGAATGCGGGGTCCAGGGAGAGCGGATATAGTGAATGCAGGGTCCGGGGAGAGCTGATATAGTGAATGCGGGGGTCCGGGGAGAGCGATATAGTGAATGCGGGGTCCGGGGAGAGCGGATATAGTGAATGCGGGGTCCGGGGAGAGCGGATGTAGTGAATGCAGGGTCCGGGGAGAGCTGATATAGTGAATGCAGGGTCCGGGGAGAGCGGATATAGTGAATGCGGGGTCCAGGGAGAGCAGATATAGTGAATGCGGGGTCCGGGGAGAGCGGATATAGTGAATGCGGGGTCCGGGGAGAGCGGATGTAGTGAATGCAGGGTCCGGGGAGAGCTGATATAGTGAATGCAGGGTCCGGGGAGAGCGGACATAGTGAATGCGGGGTCTGGGGAGAGCGGATATAGTGAATGCGGGGTCCGGGGAGAGAGCGGATATAGTGAATGCGGGGTCCGGGGAGAGCGGATATAGTGAATGCAGGGTCCGGGGAGAGCGGATATAGTGAAATGCGGGTTCCGGGGAGAGTGGATATAGTGAATGCGGGGTCCATGGAGAGCGGATATAGTGAATGCAGGGTCCGGGGAGAGCGGATATAGTGAATGCGGGGTCCGGGGAGAGCGGATATAGTGAATGCAGGGTCCGGGGAGACCGGATATAGTGAATGCGGGGTCCGGGAGAGCGGATATAGTGAATGCGGGGTCCGGGGAGAGCGGATATAGTGAATGCGGGGTCCGGGGAGAGCAGATATAGTGAATGCGGGGTCCGGGGAGAGCGGACATAGTGAATGCGGGGTCCGGGGAGAGCGGATATAGTGAATGCGGGTCCGGGGAGAGCGGATATAGTGAATGCGGGGTCCATGGAGAGCGGATATAGTGAATGCGGGGTCCGGGGAGAGCGGATATAGTGAATGCGGGGTCCGGGGAGAGCGGATATAGTGAATGCAGGGTCCAGGGACAGCGGATATAGTGAATGCGGGGTCCGGGGAGAGCGGATAAAGATATGTGTGCAGCACTTAAATATAAAGTCTCGCAAATCCCTGTTGATGCTGCCAGTGAAGTCCGCCTAATGCAGCTTCTTGTGATGGGGTGGCAACAATGCAGCAATGCTCCTGAATTCAGAGCAGTGTTGTCACCACCATTTAGGCTGTGCCTGTTTGCACTACAGTGGGAGGAGAAAATGTTTCAGGGGGTGCGGCTATCAGTGTTGTCATTGCTGATTCACAAACCTGTACCTTGTCAATCAACCCCTGACCACACCTAGACTGCAGCACTGTCTCTGTTGCTCAAACCCTCTGCCTGTGATCTGCTATGTCTGTGACACAATGAAGGAGAATTCGACTCAGCCAGGAGCGGTAAATAAAGCTTTTAATTTCTTTTATGAGGCTTGTGCATTACACAAGAACTGGATCTGGGACTTCTGTAGACTGTTGTACAGGAGCCTTTAGTTCTTTAACCGGGGGGTCAGCATCTACTTTCTGAGATGCCAGTTCAGGGATGACCCATTCATTTAAATCCTGATGTCTGTGCAGTTTTGGCTGTGTTCACAAATGTCTGACACAGATCAGCCCCTGCTGAAGCCTCTCGCCTTGTGACTTGCTAAAAAGTTACAATGTTTCAGACAGATCACTAAGGTGAGAGGAGACCGAGGACATGCTTCCTTCTGCTTGCAGCAGACTGATGACATCATCTCAGCCTCGGCAAAGTCACCGGACCGGAGCTTAAGGGTTGTTTTATTTTTAATGGAGTTTTTTTTTAATTATACCATTTCTGTATATTGTGGCAGAATTATCTTTATTGTCCTATAAAGGTACTGAAAGGTGCGCTTTAAGGGTCCACGCGGGCGTTCCGGGTTTTAATCAGTTCAGTCACGTTTTTTCCAAGAAAAAATGGATCAGTTTACATCCGTTTTTCATCAGTTTGCATCCACTTTTCATCAGTTTACATCAATTTTTCATCAGTTTACTTCCATTGACATCCACTTTTCATCAGTTTACATAAATTTTTCATCAGTTTACATTCATTTTCATCAGTTTACTTCCATTTACATCCACTTTTCATCAGTTTACATCCGTTTTTCATCAGTTTACATCCATTTTTCATCAGTTTACATCCACTTTTCATCAGTTTACATCCATTTTTCATCAGTTTGCATCCACTTTTCATCAATTTACATCCATTTTTCATCAGTTTACATCCACTTTTCATCAGTTTACATCAGTTTACATCCATTTTTCATTAGTTTACATCCACTTTTCATCAGTTTAAATCCATTTTACATCAGTTTACATCCACTTTTTATCAGTCTACATCCGTTTTTCATTAGTTTGCATCCACTTTTCATCGGTTTACATCCATTTTTCATCAGTTTACATCCATTTTCATCAGTTTACATACGTTTTTCATCAGTTAAATCTGTTTTTCATCTGTTTACATCCACTTTTCATCAGTTTACATCCATTTTTCATCAGTCTACATCAGTTTACATCCATTTTTTCATCAGTTTACATCCACTTTTCAAAAGTTTACATCCGTTTTTTTCATCAGTTTACATGCACTTTTCATCGGTTTACATCCACTTTATCAGTTTACCATCCATTTTCATCAGCTTACACCCTTTTTTTCATCAGTTACATCTGTTTTTCATCTGTTTACATCCATTTTTTTTCATGAGTTTATATGCACTTTTCATCAGTTTGCATCCATTTTTCATCAGTTTACATCTACTTTTCATCAGTCTGATTCAGTTTACATCCATTTACATCCACTTTTCATCAGTTTACATTCGTTTTTCATCAATTTGCATCCACTTTTCATCAGTTTACATCCACTTTATCAGTTTACATCAGTTTACATCCATTTTTCATCAGTTTACATCTACTTTTCATCAGTCTACATCAGTTTACATCCATTTTTCATCAGTTTACATCCGTTTACATCCACTTTTCATCAAATTTACATCCGTTTTTCATCAGTTTGCATCCACTTTTCATCAGTTTACATCTATTTTTTCATCAGTTTACATCTACTTTTCATCAGTCTACATCAGTTTACATCCATTTTTCATCAGTTTACATCCATTTACATCCACTTTTCATCAGTTTGCATCCACTTTTCATCAGTTTACATCCACTTTATCAGTTTACATCAGTTTACATCCATTTTTTTTTATCAGTTTACATCCATTTTTCATCAGTTTACATTCACTTTTCATCAGTCTACATCAGTTTACATCCATTTTTCATCATTTTACATCCACTTACCATCAGTTTACATCCATTCTTCATCAGTTTACATCTATTTTTTTCATCAGTTTACATCTATTTTTCATCAGTCTACATCAGTTTACATCCATTTTTCATCAGTTTACATCAGTTTACATCCACTTTTCAACAGTTTACATCCGTTTTTCATCAGTTTACATCCACTTTTCATCAGTTTACATCCACTTTATCAGTTTACATCCATTTTCATCAGTTTTACACCCTTTTTTCATCAGTTACATCTGTTTTTCATCTGTTTACATCCATTTTTTCATGAGTTTATATCCACTTTTCATCAGTTTGCATCCATTTTTTCATCAGTTTACATCTACTTTTCATCAGTCTACATCAGTTTACATCCATTTACATCCACTTTTCATCAGTTTACATCCGTTTTTCATCAGTTTGCATCCACTTTCCATCAGTTTACATCCATTTTTCATCAGTTTACATCAACTTTTCATCAGTCTACATCAGTTTACATCCATTTTTCATCAGTTTACATCCGTTTACATCCACTTTTCATCAGTTTACATCCGTTTTTCATCAGTTTGCATCCACTTTTCATCAGTTTACATCTATTTTTCATCAGTTTACATCTACTTTTCATCAGTCTACATCAGTTTACATCCATTTTTCATCAGTTTACACATCCATTTACATCCACTTTTCATCAGTTTACATCCGTGTTTCATCAGTTTGCATCCACTTTTCATCAGTTTACATCCACATTATCAGTTTACATCCATTTTTCATCAGTTTACATCCATTTTTCATCAGTTTACATTCACCTTTCATCAGTTTTCATCAATTGACATCCGTTTTTTTACATCCTTTTCCAATGAAAAAAACAGACCGTATGTCCGTTTACATCTGTTTACATCCTTTTTTCGGCTGTTGTTTTTTTTAATGGAAGGAAAAATAGGGTCTTCTTCCGTTAAAAAAACGGATGTTAACAGATGCAGAAATGAACTGATGCAAACAGATGATCATTCATTTACATCCGTTAGTCCATAGAAATACATGGGGGTCCGTTTTTCATCCATAAACGGACAGATCAAGAATGGACATACGTAACGCCCGTGTGAGAGGGTCCTAAGGCCACTAGGAGGGTCGGCCACACATGTAGCAGAACTGGCCATATCACTTCCCTAGATGTTGTTCTTCACAGCCCCCCCCCATATCAGCTTATTACCCCATTTTCAATCCGCCGGCATTACTGCAACGTACAGTCCACATACGACAGTCTGGCGGAATAATTCATGTGCAGCTGTGCGAAACGCTAAATTCTAATTAGTCTGCTATAATTATAGTGATTAATTACGATACGTACTTACCACAGTTACTAATGCCGGATGAATTACTTCTCTAACATTAGCAAACAGGCATTCGTTCATCTTTTGTGCAGGATGTATACGAACAACAAGGCGGACAAAGTATACCCGAGATCAAGGAAACAAAGAAGAACTCCGGCTAAACAAAACCTTTAACGGGCGGAGAATTTACATCTCACTTTAAATCCGCCTTTCTCAATCTTTCTACCCCAGAGGGACCCCCAACATAATATTCAGGTCTCAGGGAACCCCAGATAAAAGTTATCACATGTACAGCTCAAGGTACGTTAACAAGATCCGTAAGTTGTAGATATAATAATACAGAAAAGAATAAAGAAGGTGACGTCGTGTTCGACACTTAAGGGGGATCATTTTTGAAACCCCTGTGTTCTGTATGATAAAATAATTTGCTGTAAAAATCACAAAATGAAAATGAAAAATAATATTGACCAGATAAAAAAAAAACCACAGACAGACTCCCACCATTGGTGGTAGGAAAGGGTCTCCTTATATTGCTGGTCAGAGAAGGGTCTCCTTACATTGGTGGTCAGAGAAGGGTCTCCTTACATTGGGTCAGTGGTCACATTGGTAAAAGGGTCTCTTTACATTGGTGGTCAGTAAAGGGTCTCCTTACATTAGGTGGTCAGAGAAGGGTCTCCTTACATTGGTGGTCAGTAAAGGGTCTCCTTACATTGGTGGTCAGAGAAGGGTCTCCTTACATTGGTGGTCAGAGAAGGGTCTCCTTACATTGGTGGTCAGAGAAGGGTCTCCTTACATTGGTGGTCAGTAAAGGGTCTCCTTACATTGGTGGTCAGTAAAGGGTCTCCTTACATTGGTGGTCAGTAAAGGGTCTCCTTACATTGGTGGTCAGTAAAGGGTCTCCTTACATTAGTGGTCAGTAAAGGGTTTCTATACATTGGTGGTCAGTGAAGGGTCTCCTTACATTGGTGGTCAGTAAAGGGTCTCCTTAAATTAATGGTCAGTAAAGGGTCTTTACATTAAATTAATGGTGGTCAGTAAAGGGTCTCTTTACATTGGTGGTCAGTAAAGGGTCTCCTTACCTTGGTGGTCAGTAAAGGGTCTCTTTACATTGGTGGTCAGTAAAGGGTCTCCTTACATTGGTGGTCAGAGAAGGGTCTCCTTATATTGGTGGTCAGTTAAGAGTCTCCCCTCC